GGACTTCGATGTAATATTAATTTTTGTCCAGTGATCAAAATGACCATATAAACTTGGCATATTTCTACACGACGCGAACAGTTGATCAATGTACGGAGGACTGATCAGTGCTGACATTTCGCCTTTATATCACCGGCATTTTTCAGCGTAAAACGGTTCGTTGACTTCGGAAGTTGTTTTCTTCATTTGCGTCGGTTGGTAAGTTTTTAACCGAACGTCGGTACTACTTAACTATCCGATTGACCAATCTGTTTACGTCGTGTTTTGTGCTGTGACATCAAAGTACGGGTGAAATACTCGGGCTGTCGTATGATGATATGATCTACAACGTCGGTGATCACGTTTTTTGTGCATTAACTTCTACGGGAAAGTGGCGATTTAATGACGACTTGCGTACCTGACTTTAAAACTAATCAGAAAGTTGAAGTGGCAAGAATAGTGTCGAGTGTATCATACTATTTAATATGAATGTTACCCAGTATATGGTAGTCGGTCTCAATCACAAGCCTCAACAGTACATCATAGTTGTTGCCCGATCAAGCTATTGTCATTACTGCTTTTTCCGTTGATTTCTCTAGCCGCAGATCTTGAACATCCTAGTTGGCCCTCAGTTACTGACTCCAGCATACGATTCTAAAGGATTAGGCAAATCGTGAATGCCAAGAACGGCTTGCTTCTTTTGTTGATTGTGCAATGTTGCCTAATGGGTGGGCAGTGACGGTTTATTCATACTTTGCTTTTATTTCTTATTCGCATATTTGCACCTACTTTTTTGCTTATGTTAAAGAACTCGGTGCATTGGTAATTTTTTAGGTAATAAAGTTCACTTGCAAATTTGTTCTAAAAGTGTCCGTTTAAGTAAATAGGTTTTTATGAGTTTTATTCAGAATAAATGCGTTGCTTTAACAATAACTATTTCCTCATTGTTCATGCACGTTAGCTGCCTGTTTGACTGTTAACTTTTAGCTTTGACTAATAATGCCTTCATTTGTAGAGTGTGAGGAACAGCGGGATGCGGCTAAATCCGCTGATAGGTCCTCAAAGTCGAAAATCTTTATCGATGCGGCATTCGTGCCTCAGTGCAACAAAGACGGCAGCTTCAAGCCAATCCAGTGCGACAACTTTGCGCGCGTGTGTTGGTGCGTCGACAAAGACGGGCTCGAGATTCACGGCTCTCGCAGCGTCGGCGAGGCCAAGCCGAATTGTTCAGCGTCTTCGTCTGTATACACATCCGTGTCAGACGTTTCGGGTAATGAGACTTCTTCTGTTGTCGTTTCTTCTCCTTCAGTAGAGTGTTTTCTGACCTGATGCATTTTTTATGAACAGTCTTATACTGGAACGCTAGGCTGCTGCTTCCTCACGTTATTTGAATCTTACGAGTACATTAATTCATTGACATTGTATTTAAGTGTCTCATTGTCATTGCTTGAATATGCATTACTATTGCTACTCGTTAAAGGCTGCCACATTGTTGCTGACTCAACGTCGTGCAGTTATTTCGGACACGTTACTCTGTAGAATCAATGACGTGTCAGGGACACAATTATGGAACTAATTTTTAAGCCACTTCTTCAGTTGAGCACTTGCCCATTAGTCTAAAATATCGTGTTGTAAAACTGCTCTGTTTTTCGTGGCAAAACTTGGTGATTCACCCACGGCAAAATCCTGCTGAACTTTTCGGCGTCGAATGGTTCAGTTCTTCATGTAATCCCCCACGGATGTTGCATTTCGAATCGTGAGACATGCTTTCAGACCCTGAAGCTGTTTTTGTAGTTCCTGCTAAGGGGTACGACTCGCTTACCGTAATCTATATCGATTCCTAACAGTTATTCGACGACTAGGTGATTAACCACAGCGAAAGAAGCCATCTGAGCAAACCCATCAGAAAAGTGTGATTCACGTGTAACAATGTTTACAAGCGGATTACTACCAAACCGAGTTCCATTGTGAGTCATTACACTCTGCCCTTGCATCCAGATGTAGAAGGACGTTTAAGTAGTCCACCGTTTTATAGTATTGTAATCATTGTTGCCTGTAATCGATGTGCTGTTTTGTGTAATTCGATAATGCTTTGTTCATTGTCATTTATGTGTGAGGAATTCGTTGCTTCACTGATGCCTTATTAACATCATCAAAGTAGGTTTCTTCTTTAGGAATGTGTTGTTGACATCATAACGCAAAATCAGTTTCAGAGACTTTGTGTTTTATAAAGCTGTGTAAACTCCATTATGCTGATGTGAATCTCATAACTTTCTTTGTCGAAACCTTAAATGCTTTGCTGATTTTAATCGGTTAATCAATCAGATAAATATGCCGATATAAACAGAAATGTTCATGAAATTTTCGGTTTTCTAGTAACAGCCATTTTTCATACCGCAAGCCACCGTAACGCATATGTCGTTTTTCCAGGTTCACTCGGTCTAATCACACTATCCCCTTGTTTAAAGCGAATGTGTTTGGAAACATTCCACGATTCCACGGCATTATTGCGCTTTTAGTACATCAGTGAAAAGTTGTGTCACTGACAAACCAATATACTTTGATCAGTGACCATATATAAGAAAACTGTTATATTTATCATCAGCGTTTTCGAATCACGTCGAATGATGACCTCTCAAACGTTTGTCACAAAATCCTGTCTTCTGCGATCCTCCTTCACTTTGCTCCAACAGTTTTCTTTACGTAATCCTAAATGTGAGGTAGCTATACTGGGCCGCTCACCATCACTTTGAACTCAGTTTAAAATCTCTTATTCTACCATTGGTCGGTTCTTCTTTCAACTTATCCTGTTCATTGCCATTTCAAATTCTTCGTTCTTGCGGTGATATTCTATATGTTATCGTATGTCTCGTATCGATATTGTAGCAATGGGATTATGCACTGATAAAAAACCGTGCGTTTCAGGCAGTTTTCCAGATAAGAACATTTTCAGTCTTTCAAAACTGTTACACTCCACTTTTACACTTCTGTTGATTTCGCTGTGTTGTGTCTCCTTGGTTGCAAAGATCAACTGTCCCGGATAGACAGAGCTTGCGTTTTTTGAGACATAAAGTCCTTGATTTCCGCAGCTGCTGGAGTCACGTATTTGTAGAATATGATTCAGATGTTAAGTTCATTGTCAATTGCAGCAGTTGGATTCTTCTCTAGAGTTGTTCCGTATTCCTCATGAGGATCGGAATATCTTGGCTTTGTGTTGTTGTTTTGTCGCCATTGTATTCGAGCGTTTGTAGTGCCTGGCACATCTGATACCCTTATACGCTGGAGATCCAATGGGCTCATTTTGAACGGTTTCAGTAGTTTATTCTCCTTATTTGTTACCGCACTGAGTTGTTCGTATCCTTCGATATGTCAAATAACCAGTGGCTCCTCCAAGACCACGTTTTACTGTTATTGTACTACAAATGCTCAAATTTCCTGGAACGTGGCTTGCCGAAATACCCTCTGGGGCAATTGAGAGCCAGAGGCGGTGCAGTGCGCCATGAAATTTGGTCTTGCAGCACATTCCCTTTCTGTGAATTATTCTGTGTTAGCTGGCGTCCGAACTTGTTTTTCTTCGATCCAACACAGCTGTGCAATTCTGCTGTATTACTAAGGATCACGGCCTACTTGAACGTTCCTTTAGACCCGTAGAAGCATCGGGACGAGCGAACCCGCAAAAGCGATTCGAATGCATGAATAGACAAGTACTTCATCTTCATCTTCCATCGCCGCTTCTCCTTTCGGGTCGCGGAGGCAGACGCGTCAGACAGTGCTT